TATATATATTTGCCCCTCCCCTATTTTTTCCTCCCTTGTTCTGTCCTTATTGTTTCTATTGTTTCTTTAACAGAAATGACTATATGAACGACCGACGAAAAGAGATCAGTAGCGTAAGAGGTGCTTAATAATATAATAATAGAAATGTTAAATGGAACGTGTAACTTCATCCGACCTTATAACGTTTGTCATGAGAATCTCGATTCTCTTTTTTTTCTATTGTTGTGAAGTCGATTCGTGTTGTATAGCTGGCTGTTTCGTGAACGGGTTATGTACGTCACCTATCGCATTAATTCTCGCCCATAGTTCCTTTCTTCTGCAAATAGTTAAGGAATTTAGAGTCAATATCACAGAAGCCCGAAGCAGATTGAACGCATAATTGTAGAGGTTAGCCATCAGTTTATATGAATCACTGCGTAGTACGTTATTCATCTATAGTTGTTGTAACAGACACGTGTAAAGGAATTCGCAAGCAATCTGACGTGCAGTTTAAATTAAATATCCTTGCAGCTACGATAGCAATTTTAGACAAAGCATAATATTGCGGACTGTGCACTCTTGGTAAATCGTATAAAACGTTGTTCCAGTTTAGTTTTTATTAGCAAATTGTTCTGTAAGAAAGTATTGTACTATATTTCGTATTAAAATTTTATCAGAAAACGTCGCTTGTTCTAAAGCCTATAGTCGTTTGTCGCACGTTATATTCACGAAATTTCAGTTTTTAATTGTTACCACATCTGCTATTCATCATAATAAATTACAAAATTATCGATAAAAAATTGGCTGTTTTCACACGCTAAAGTTGATTTCTACAGAAGGGCTAAACGCACCGTGCTTTTGGGCATGCTGGGGACGGACAATGGATATTGACTTATGCAGACGCACTCAGACACAATAACACTGACGCGGCGCGACGCGCGCGCGCGCGCACACACACACACACACACACACACACACACACGCACGCGCACACACACACGCACACGCACACACACACCCCCCCCCCACACACACACACACATAAATTCGTGCGAGAGATATTAACACAAACGCTGATGAAACAAAGCTTAGATACAATACATACTCGTGTTGGGTTACAATATTGTACAATACGATATTGTATCTATATAAAGCTATGCAAAATTACGTGCGTGCTGAAGTGACTCTATACTGCTCTTCTACACCCTTAGGGTGGTGTCAGCCAATAGTGGACGACTACATCAATATATTGAGCTAATTACGTATGTGCGAACTCGCAGCGGCAGCTATTTATAAATCTGCGGTAAATTTCGAATTCAGTTTTCAGCAATCCGCTGTTATCTTATTCATCCACCGTAAATTTCCCTCATGTAGCACAATATAGTAACAACGTAGGTGTTCTGCTGAAATTATGATGATTTTATGCGTTAGTTCAGAAAATTGCGAAATGGAAGACTGAGGAAATGCACGAAATTTCACGAACCAGGGCTTTCATGCTTTCTTTGAAAGTTTTCATGAGAAACCTTAGTAATAAACCATATATCTTATGATAATAAAATACTGTGCTTCTATAGTGGCGGGGATTAAATCACATTCCGCATAAGCAAGAAATGTGGGTTATAAGGGGGGAAAAGGAATAAAAACGTGCCCCTTTACTCAAACGTCATTTCCGAAAACACATAATATACAATATACCTACACTTTACCGATCGTGAAGATCATAGAACGCTGACCAGTTTTTACGACAAAACGCCGTTCGACTATCGCATCGCACGAAAGCTTTCGCGTACACTACGTGTGGCACTATTGCTTTTGTACTTTGTGCGTTTGTATGTACATCGAAATGCGTATGCGCTGGACCATATATAATACAACACGCTTCATCCATTCTTCTATTCAACGCAAAACAACACACGTCTGTCACTCATCTCAGTTGACATATCGTTATAAATTCACGCATACACGATTCATGCATTGTATAGTCAATTTAATAATCAATTTCGCGAATGTAGACTGCTTCAAATAATTAATTATCTGCTCGGCATTAAAATGCAGCGACAGACGGAGAGAATTTAATGCTCCCGCTGATTGCGAGTGTAATACGAGATGGACGACGGTTGCGGAGAATTTGCGGCGGCCGAGCATTACGGAGATCGAATAGTGGCCTGCCGCCTCACATCTGTGCGGCAAAAAGTCGCAGTTCTAGCAGAAACTACCGACAGTCGGTACTCTCAATCACCGAAATGCTGCAGCTGATGCACGACTAATTAGACAAGGTGGTTACTGTGGCTTTTATTAGTAGTATAGATTTTCCAGCAGTATTTTGCAACAGGTGACGCAGCCCCGTATTGCATAACGCAAACATCGCCGCGTCGGCTACTCGTTTGTGCAGCTAATGTAACACGTACGCAATCACGCACGCAGTCACGTACACAGTCACGCGCCCAGTCACGCACGCCGTCACGTACGCAGTCACGTACGCAGTCATGTACGCAGTCACGTACGCAGTCACGCACGCAGTCACGTACGCAGTCACGCACGCAGTCACGCACGCACGCAGTCACGCACGCAGTCACGCGCCCAGTCACGCACGCAGTCACGTAGGCAGTCGCGCACGCAGTCACGCACGCAGTCACGCAAGCACGCAGTCACGCACGCAGTCACGTACGCAGTCACGCACGCAGTCACGCACGCAGTCACGCACGCAGTCACGCACGCAGTCACGCACGCAGTCACGCACGTAGTCACAAACGCAGTCATGCACGTAGTAACGCACGCCCACACTAATGTACACAGTTACGCGCGCAGTCACGCACGCAGTTACGCCGCAGTCACGCGCGCAGTCACGCACGCTCGCACCCATGTACACAGTCACGCACGCCCACACGCCGGAGCGCTCAACGTCGGGCGAGAGGCACCCAAACTAGGTGCGCGCCACCAGCGGGGGAACGCGTCGTTGTTAGTCAGGCTACGATTGCCTGGCAACGTGGCCGTGACGGAAGTCAGACGGCGGGAGCTTTGTTCGCTGTGCGCTGCGTGATGCGGCGAGGCGAGGCCGCCGATGATGGCGACGACTCGCACGCACGCACGCAGCGCGCGCCGTCATCAACACGCCGCCAAGCCGACGAATTAAGCTGGAATTCCATTTAAGTCGGCAAGTTACAGGGATCGTGCGGATCGTCAATAATATTGGACGTTACGTGAGAAGTCAAGGAATACGAGCCTGTAGTTTGTTAGAGGTAGTCAATGTAACCCGAGTGCGCTAATATTAGAAAACAAAGGGTATTCTATATGGCGCGATAGCAGTATGATGAATGTGTGTGTGTGGGGGGTGGTCGATCTTTGCATATCGGTTGTTTGTGAAATGGCTGATTATAGAAGTCGCTAACAATCGGGCCGTCTCCGATATATCATTTTGTTAAAGAACCCTATATTTTAGAATAACGGATGATAATGTTCTCATACAGTATATGGTCATGCATGAACCCTCGTTTAGTGTTTACTACGGATTTACATCATCGGTAGATGGACGCACAGTTTCCTTATTTATGCCCGGGTACCCTATGTACCGGAGATATTTATGTACACGACACCATTATCTTAGTATTATTGATATTGTTATGGTTAGATTTTGGATCGCGCAGAATTCACGGCTAAGATTATAATCACAGCGAAGTTCGTGATCATGCGCGTGGTAAGTATTGGTGGCCTTACCCGCATCTCTGGGCACCCGCGGCCATAATCGTTTCGGGCGTCTGGGGCACAAGCGTAGGTAAAGGAGTATTAGGCATAATAATTTAGCCCCCAATATGCATGTCGGCGGGTCCTAACCCCTGGGTCGTCAAGTTATTGTAATTTGATCGGCAAGTATGCACTTAGCGAGTATATGAAAGCAAATATGAATGCACATATAAATGCAATGAGACAGCTGCCTCCCTTGGAATGAGCGCGAGGTCTCAAGAGATTTTATTTATTTCGAATTAATTTTAATAATTACGCTGGCATGTACTTTTTCTAAAAGTTTTTCATGGCCATCAGATGTGACACCCATGTCGATGTTATCAGCTGCTAGGAAACAGTTATGTATATGCGGTGTATATGAAGATATACGAATATATTTGGTAATCAGAATGTCCATAATGCAATGACAACAGAAATGCGTGGGAGAAGCCAGAATGTCAATACATTCATGCCCCGTGTTATGCAAGCACTGCGTTCCAGAATAAAAAATGTTTGTGACGCAAACACGTGAACTACTGTTTCCCAATGACTCTCATCATTATTATAATCAGGAGTAAACAATCACAAATGTGATTATTTGCTCCAGATATAATTGAAGATGCGTTCCAATGAATGACAATTGTGAATGTAGGCGCACGCATTGGCAACACAGTATTACGATGTAACCCAATAATATGATACTTGGAAGGAAAAGAAGTTTAGAGTTTGAGTTACTAGGAGGAAGAGGGAGGAGTACTAATACTAACTGGCAGGGGTTGCACAAGAGATTGTAGACATAAGGCCCAAAGTCCTGACGGCGGTAGGGGTAAACTCACACTGCGAGCAGAGAGCTAAATTCTATTTATAACTAGCGCGATCCATTTTTTTTCCAAATTTAGAAGTTTACAATGTCCAATGTTTTTTGAAAGGATATAAAGTCTCTATGAATAACTACAAATATATATTGTAAATTATATCATGTGTGTAAATATATCAGCTCTCCATCTTCCTGATTGTTGCCATGAGCTACGGCGACTAAACCAGCGCTAAAGATGACGCGTGACTGCAATTTGGTTTATCAATAATTATTGTTATCCGACGAGAAACTTATATTTTCCCCGGCGGGGATGGGCTGAGACCACCCACCCCACTCTTCCAGACGCGTCCCATTTCACCTTCAATTAGAAGTCACAGATTATTGTAATAGCATCGCTATACGAGCCAGACAAGGAGACCATAACGCGGTTTTCCGCGGCATAAAACTGAACACATACTACTTCAGAACGTGCACATGTATAGTTGGTTACTTGGTAGCTGTTCGGTGCGGGTCGCGGCGCGATTTGTTAATCATGCTCCGTAGCCTATATATAGTGCGGTTTTACACTAACTTGCTTTAATGTATTTTCTTACAGGGACAGGCGAGCCAGCGTTGTTAGCTGTTATATTATATGGCGTTAACGTGACAAGTGAATGTGAGTATCGCGCGCTATCAGAAAGATCTCTTTGTATTGAGCGTGTATTTTAATAAAGCTTGCTGAATAACATTCTCCGCATTGATTCCGTTAATGAATATTACTTTTAGGTCTTTAGCAACGTAGTACTAATCGTAATGATATATCTTAATGTTATGTACGAGTGAAAGCAATTAAGATTAAAATAAAATTTAGGGATTTGTCGAAGTTGTAATTATTATTTTATAAAAGCTCCTAAAAATATTTGTTTTTTTTTCCTGACTCCAAGCAGTTAACGGATTATTAAAACAATGGCAGACAAAGCGACTGCAACTTCTTCTCATAGATATTCAATTTCTTCTCATAGCTTTCCCGAAGAGTTATGGATGTTTCCCCGACGGGGGGGGATAGGGGGGTGAGCCTACCCGGTGGGGAAGGCTGTAGCCTTTCGTGCACATCTGAGCCAACTCCTGCCAGTTTACTCAGTTTTGTTATCAGTATCGCTGTCGCGTTTGCGCGTTTCAGGTCAGCTGGCTACATATTTATTCCGTGCACATAAATTTTGTTTACGGCGATTCAGCACGCAACTTTTTAAGAACAAACCCCAGTCATTCTTTTGAAAAATTATGTAATGCGAATTATCGTTACTTATTGCGAGTGAAGTGGTCATAATTTATTACCGACGTGTAACACCTACGTATGTGCGAATTTCTGTAACCTGGGTTGTCGTAACTCGAGTTACTACTGCGCCACGATTACCAATGCAGTAGTGTGAGCATCCCAAAAGAGCATTCGGCTGGATCGAATGACCGACCGTCATTGCAATTGTATTTGTTATGGACATATTCGTACCCGGCACAACATGCTTTAGTGTGTCATCAGAAGTGAATAACAACAACAAATATAGACACATTAAAATAATTTGTTTTTAATCACTCCTAATGTCATGTGTTTGGTCGTCTTTATGTAGTCGTCACTGATTCAGCGGCCTTAGATAAATGGGCGCATAGCTTAAACGTCTTACGTCTTTGAAAAGCAATTCTCATACATAAGTTATTTAAATCGGATAAAGGGGGCAGAGCTTCGGTTATACGGGATATTTTCTGCGGGACAAACTTTATTCTTCCTTACGTGAACGCTTTAAAACGATCCAAACCGATAACTCTCGGCCTTTCAGTGAATTCTGGATATAACCAGTACAAAACATTAGAACTAAAGTTGTGTATTGTACAGTACGTATTGTTAATTACGAAAGGTACAGAACGGATAGATGTGCGACTGAAATTGTGTTCACCGCCTAATCGGGACAATTTCATGATCCTCGAAATGTCCCGCTGAAGCGGAACTGTATTGCCGCTCACATCCTACACAAATTTAGACGCTGAGAAATATCGTGTATACCGTCCAGGGATAAGAGCCCGCACCAGTAATCAATAACCCCGTTAAGCTACTTAGAGTTTCCTTATATCTCTGGAATCTTTATGGTCCGTAATGTCCTTACTGCTACCACAGGTCGTAATCGCGCTATAAGAATATCGCTAAATGAGCAATCGACATGCTATCCCGCGTTGTATCGCAATTCCACCGTTTACGACGCAGAGTTATATACTATAAAGTGCCGAACATCTTCTCCAGCAGAGATGTGAGTGAATTACGCTGCGATGCCGAGTCAATCGAGCGAGGCTGACCGATGGACGTGCGTCCGTGCAGGGGCAGACTCCCGCAGAATAATGACATTGAGGTCACCGCTTGATAGGCGCGTGCATGCGAGCAGATTCGGATATGATTCGCCCGACGACAGTCGCACGTTGTCGCATAGACGCGACGACAGTCTGCGATTTATACATTGTTTAGTCGTTGAGGTTAATGGGGAAAATGATCTGGCTATTGATTTCGACATCACGTAAGGTTAATTAGCTGATACAGCGAGTACAAGAATTTCTTACGAACTTTTCATCGATTTGCTCTTGCTCTTCATCGATAAATTAAAAGAATGATCACATTGAGAATAAATTTGCACACAGTTTCTTTCCGTGTCTTTCGACGATGTTCTTGGAAAGACTTTTACGAAACGAGGCAAAAAGAGCGAGCGAGTGTCAATGATAAACAGTACTCTTTTTCGGCACATTAACAACTCGATGATAAATGCGGCGCAGGCAGAATCAGACTATATATATACCGACACGCACCGTGTCTACGATATTGTCTCGTTTCATTATTGCCTTAGCACCACACGCCTAATACATATACACGCGCGCGCACTGTGTGTTTGTGTGTGTGTGTTTTCCAAAACCATTCAGAGCTTACCATTGTCCAGTCGTTTTTCTTTCTTTTTGTTTTTCACTCTTTTTCCTTCTTTATTTTTCATTTCTTTATGCCTTCCTTTCTTAATCTTTCGCGCTGTTTCTTTTTAACAAAACCTACTCTCTCGCTTTTATATTTACTTCTATCTATTATCTAGCTATTATCTACACTAGATTATATATATATATTATTATAGTAATATACTATATATATGATAAATATCATATCACTCATCACTCTCTGATCTCTGCCTATACTCTCCCTCGTATATATTATTTATCACTTCTCA